ATTCTTTTAAATATATATATATATATATATATATTTATATTTAAATATTTCTATCATAATCTATTACCCATCTCACTTTTTTTTATGCATAAACTTCTACTATTATATTACTATTTGATTTCATTTCAAAATGGGAAAGAAACAAAATTTTATAGTATACATCATTCTCGGAAAAATCAAGTGGATGTTAGTTGTATTCATTCATATATATAGAATGTATTTTACTTCCATAATAAAAATGTATTATCCAATGTGAACATACTTCTTATTGATAAGAAGATATGAAATTATTAATATTTATATCTTTTTAAGATTTTTCTATTTTTATTTTTTTAGTTTAAAATTAATTATAAAAATTTTATTTTGTTCTTTATATATATAAGAAAACAAAATTCAAGCTTCTTTTAAGAAATCGTTGATTGACAATTTTGATAACTCAAAATAAAGAAAAAAATCAAAGCAACTTCACATTAAGTGTAAACTGGAATTTTTAGTTAACACTAAGAGTAAAAAATCAATGCCCAACATTTTTCATAGTACCATTTTAAATCCATACATTTTAAAGATATTGTGAATTTGAGTAAAGAAGATATATTGATTAGTTAGTTAATTTCATATTATATTTCTTAAAATTATTTATACTGTCTATTTTTAATTATAATTTTTGTCATTTATTTTGTTTTTAGATGTTATTGATTCTTCAAGATTTAGAGTATTGATTTCTTTATTTTATTAAATTATAAAATTTCATATTAAAGTTACGATAACTTGAATTGTATTTTTTGGAAAAGTTACATTGATCATTACAATACACACTTAATGAACATAATTATAATGATTTTGTTGTATTAGTTCTTCAACTTTGCAAATCGAATAAATATAAAGGTAAAATATATTTCACTCAATATTTGAAGCAGTTTCAAAAGTGTTATTTACATTAATATAATATTTAAATCATAATTTTATGAGTGATAGAAATTTTATAGACAAAACATTGGTGAATCTTGAATTGGATGTCATCAAAGAGTCAATGTCAATCTTTAAAACATGTTGAAATATATCGTTAAAAATCAATTTTATCTTATGATCAATTATATATTACAATTTTAAAAGTTACATGATTATAAATATAAAAAAAATTCAAATATGTGCTCTAATATTATTTATAAAAAAGTTTTTAATAATTTGTAATAACAAATTATTATGTATTTATTTTTTAATATTATTTTTAATATTATTACATTTCATATATATTGTTTTCGTTAATTTTTATTTATATGATTAATTAAATATTATTTTATCTAATTAACTAAAATAAAATTATATAGCGTACGAATATCAATCTAATCTATATTAATATACAAAAGAGATACATTTTTCAGTAACTACTTGATCTCTATTTTCTTTTATCATTATACTTTTTATTTTAAAAAATTATAAAAAATATTTTTTAATCAAAATTAATAACTTGAAACTAATAAATTAATCATAATACCAATTAGATTAATATACTTTTTATTATTTTATTTTTATTTTATTTTTATTTTTCGTGTCTCGAACTCACTAGTTATATTAAATGTATATTAAATGTAATGAGATGTGGGGGTGGTTACATTATTTTGCTATAAGATGAACGTGCAAATGAAGGTTTTTGGAAAAAAAAAATTCTGTGGTAAGTGGATAAGGGTAGAATTTTGTCACTTGTTTTTAATTATTGCGTTTATTTTGTCACTTGTTTTAAAATAAAACAAGTGACATCCACAATAATTTAATTTTCCTTAGCCACTGTAGGAAGGGCAAACAAAGTATGAAGGTCCCACAATTCAATTATTTTAATCGATCAAAGTCATCTTATCATACAGTAAACAAAGTAAGATGGCTACACAACTAAATTATTTTAATTGAAAGCCACTCGATGATACGCATTCCACATCCTACATTTCAACATTTTTTCTAATGGTGATTGACGGATTCAAAAATTTTAGGCTAAAAACTTTAGTTTTTTATAATAATTGTTTATTTTAATTTAATTTATTTTTTATTTTTTATTTTAATTTGGTTCTTAATAAATTAATTAGTTGCAATATTGGACTTTCGTTCAAATTATTTAAACAGAGTTAACTGTTGGTCACATGGATGCCACGTGAAAACTACGTAAATGCCACGTAGATATCAAATTTTTGTCATGCATCTAGAACCAGAACGGGCTGTTCTGGTTCCAGAATGCCTTATATCCAGAAATTTTAGATCGTGAGGACAATACTTATTCGTATATTTGTAATATTAAAAATTTTATATATAATTTTTATAAATATAAATATATATTATAGTTATATTTTACAAGTTTTTATATCTACAATTATGATTAAGGATGAAAATAAATTAGGTCAGATTATGTTATATTATAATTTAACAGATTTAAACCTAATTTTTGTTAAAAATACATGTTATAAATATTATATATTTATCTATCATAGACATTTTTAAAAATATTTGGTTACATAAAAATCTTAAAAACTTAATAATAATTTAACACTAATAAAAATATATAAATAAATATGTTAAATCTTATAAAAATTAAGTTTAATTTATTTATCATATAAAGATATTTTTAATATGTTATATAAATTTTTACAAGGCTTAAATATGTTTTTAGTCCCTTAAATTTAAGATTAATCTATTTTTGATCCCTCAAATTTAAAATTGTTGTTTTTAGTCATGTAATTTCAAAAAATCTTAATTTAGTCCTTATATTCAAATTTTGTTAAGAAATTTATCAAACATTATTGCATAAAATCTATCTATTGGTGTCCCTATTAGTGAAAATATCATATTAAATCTAGTTGATATTGCATAATTGTCTTAATTAGTCACTTTCAAATATGTTATTGATGACTTAAGGGACTAAAACAAGATTTTTGAAAATTACAGGGACTAAAAACAACATTTATAAATTTGAGGGACCAAAAATAAATTTATCTTAAATTTGAGAGACTAAAAACATATTTAAGCCTTTTTACAATTTTAATTTTTTTTATCAACATAAACAATAAATAGAAAGTACAAAAGTTTGACAAATATCATATAAATGAATAACTCCTCGAAATTTATATTTTATACATACGATAATTTAAATATATATATATATATTAGAATATAATTTTTATTTTTTAAAATATATTATTTTTTAGATAAAAAATTTGTGTATGTGTAAATGGTTTGTTTTTTATTTTTGAACCACAATGGTGCACTATGTTGGTTGGCGTTCTGGAACGGTCCGTTCTGAATCCAGAACGGACCGTTTTGAAAGCCAGAACGGCCCGTTCTGCTGCACGCTTTGGTGTTAAATAATGCATCTGGAATGACCCATTCCAGATGCAAAATTTACACACCATAAGTGCTACCGAAATGGGTCGTTTTGATTCCAGATGCATGATAAAATTTGACATTCACGTGACATCCACGTGACTAACAATTAACTCCATCTAAATAATTTGGACGGAAGTCCGACATTGCAACCAATTAATTTATTAAGGACCAAATTGAGACAAAAAAAAAGTAGGACTAAATTAAAACAAACAATTATTATAAAGGAGCAAAATAGGTTTTTAGCCAAAATTTTATGAAGTGTAGATAACATTTATATACATTAATTTATAACATTACAAATATATAATTTTTCAAATATAAATATGCTACCTTAGTTAAATTTTTTTATAGGATCTAATCTATTATATCTTAATTGTTAAATTTTTCTTTATAAAAGTATTCTTATTAAGTGTATTTATTGAGTTTAAAATGCAAATGATCAAATACAAATAGTTTTACTTTTTATCGACTTAATACTTTTGTATTTATTTTCTGTTTGTATTAAAATAATATTTTATTAGTAGAAATCATGTCTCTTTTAACATAAAAAAGAAATAATATATATATATATATATTATAGAAAAATCAGTGTGGAAATTTGTAATTTATAATTCTATACAATATATAATTAAAAATATTTTTTTAATTTAATAAATATAAATTGCTAGATTAAAAAGATTGAATATGATTACCGTAAGAAAGATAGTTTTTAATTTTTAAGATAAAAATAATAAATAGAAAAAAAAGACTACTCTCATAACAACTAGATAAAAAGTTACAAACGTAGTATGAATTCTGAAACTAAATATTATTATTCATTAGAATTATTATCCTAAACCCTAATGCCGAAGGGAGCGTTGGGTTTTATTTGAGAACAATGAAAGCAGTAGAAATGCATGAGCGGGAAGCCAGAAAGAGGTAATCACCCATATACTAGCGGTGTCAAGTTTTTTTACACTGACAAATAATTAAATCTTTTAATTGTGTCATATCATTATAAACACATTAGTAACATGACACAGTTAAGAGATATAATTGATTGTCAGTATAAAAAAACTTTATACTAACAGTATATAAGTGATTAACTCCAAAAGGAGAAAAAGAAGTGATGTGACATATTATATTACAATAAAGCCATGGTTGAATAAGGCAGGCAATCTTGAAGCCAAACTGTGCTTTAAAGCGGGGGAAACAGGATGTTCCCCGATCATGGTCTCCAACACTGCCTCTGATAAGGCCTTGTTCTCTATAACTGCATCTTCATTTGCTGGTAATGTCTCATCTTGAGAGAAACTGAGGCCTAATATGCCATCAGGTGATTGCCTGAAGAAAACAGAAGCCCCAGGTGGAAAATTCACACTCTTGAAGGCTTCCGCAAACCTTTCAATGGCTGCAGCTTCGGCTTCTCCGTATGTCCCCACAGACTTCATGTGTGCCACGCAGTTTTCCATCACCTTCCTCGAGTACTCTCGCCCACTCAATTCTCTTATATACGAACATCTTATCATCTTTTCAAACCCACCTAAAATTCCATCATAATAACCATTACTATTTTTTCTACACCATCATATTTTTGCTGATTTTCGGTTCAAACTTTCACGTCACACCATTTAATATAAAAAAGTTAATCATTTATATATTGTTAGTGTAAAAAAAATTTATATTGACAATTAATTATATCTTTTAATTATATTATGTCATTATAAACACATTTATTTTTAATAATGATATGACACAACTAAAAGATATAATTGGTTATCAGTATAAAAAAAACTTTACACTAACAATATATTAGTGATTAACTCTTAATAAAATAACAAACATTCCACTTCACACGGTACCAAATGTCGGTGCATAATTGGACTATATTCTTGACCTTAATTTTGTCCAAACATTATAAAATATACGTAAAATCTTTTGTCTCGATCTCTTTTAATTTCATCACTTTATTTTATAAACATTGTTTTTATTTAAATGATTAAGAATATTAATTATTTTCTCTTTAACAATATATGTGTAATTATTAACTACTATAGAACGAATTACCTTCTTATATTTTTTTCTTTTAAATTACACTTAATATTTTTTTTACTTTTTCAATTTATAAATAAGACACCTAAAAGTTGCATATTATATCATCTTTTAATTCATAAATAACGTCAAATTTATTAATATATTTGTGTTATATGACTTATATATGATTTTTTAAAAAAAAATTCTTTAAAAAATGTTCTTCATCTTCTTCATTGAAACATTTTTAAGGGATAACACATTTTTAACTTTTAATGGATTTTATTGTAGGTAAAAAATTGAAAGTGTCAAATACAATTTTAAAAAAATATCAGAATGAGAGTATAATTTATTCAATATTATAAATGTTTATTTGTCATAAATAAGGGAAAATAATACTAAAATAGCGTTAAAGTTTTCGAAATAATATAAATACAATTATTAATTATATTTTATAACATAATATAGGATTTTAAGTTCAACCTAGTTACTGGAATTGTAACTTTTGTGAATAAAAAATTCATAGTCTTTTATTTAATTGATTAATTGTTTTAACATGTTTTCCAATTAAAATTATTTTTCATTATAGTAAATTGCACAATAAAATCAACATTATTATAAACAATAATAAATATTATCTATTAGAGTTGCATAATAATAGAAGGTTAGAAAAATATACATAAGCTTATAGATTCAAATTATATTATTGTTGTAATTATTATTAATAAAAAAAATGTCTACGTGAAATCCTCCTCTATTATTAAATACGAATGGTTATTGTGCATCATAACGTTTTCATGGATTTCTAAAAAAAAATTAGACAGTTTTTTAGAGAATTTTTAGAAATCCTTTTAAATTTTTTATTTATTTAAATTTTGTTAATTATACTTACTTATAAATTAAATTTAAATATTTATAAAATAAATTATTAATAATTAAAAATATTACTGTATAACAATATTTGAACATATTTGTTTATACAAATTTTAATATAATATCTATTTGTATATATAATTTATTATAAATTTTAGTTATGTATAATAAATATTTAACATATCACATGTTACAATACTAATTTTATTTTTAAAAAATATTATAATAAAAAAAATACTTAAAAAATTACTCTAATATAATAACTTAAAAAAAAGAGTGAAGAGTTGGAGAGAGTTTCTATATATGATTGATTTAACCTGAAATGATATCTCTGAAGAAGTCTAGGGTTTCCACCAACCCTTCTGAATCCTTGCTCTTCCACTTAGTGGCAAGTGATGCCACGGCTTTATCCTCCAAGTACACTCCTAAGCCCGTGAACTTTATGAAGCTTCCCTCAATCATTAATCCTCTCACCCCTACATAACGCATATATATTAAAAACTTTAAATTTAAAAGATAGATCATATTAAAATTTAATATAAAATATAAGTTATTAAATAAAATAAATTTATATATAAAATAAAAATATATATAGAACCTGCGCCTCCAAGGAAATAGGTCTTGGCGGCACATGTTACAATACTAATTTTATTTTTAAAAAATATTATAATAAAAAAAATACTTAAAAAATTACTCTAATATAATAACTTAAAAAAAAGAGTGAAGAGTTGGAGAGAGTTTCTATATATGATTGATTTAACCTGAAATGATATCTCTGAAGAAGTCTAGGGTTTCCACCAACCCTTCTGAATCCTTGCTCTTCCACTTAGTGGCAAGTGATGCCACGGCTTTATCCTCCAAGTACACTCCTAAGCCCGTGAACTTTATGAAGCTTCCCTCAATCATTAATCCTCTCACCCCTACATAACGCATATATATTAAAAACTTTAAATTTAAAAGATAGATCATATTAAAATTTAATATAAAATATAAGTTATTAAATAAAATAAATTTATATATAAAATAAAAATATATATAGAACCTGCGCCTCCAAGGAAATAGGTCTTGGCGGAGACAGATGAGGAAAGAAGAGGTGGGAAGTGAAGGTTGTCGACCTGAACTGCGGTGATGGATGATGCTGCTGTCGCCATTTTCTAACCACCAGGATACCTAGCTAGCTTTCACTTCTTGTAAAACTATGCAAGAGGAGAAGCATTTTTATAGATACATTCTCCATCTTCTATCATTCAAAATCCATATTCTTGTTTTTAAATAAATTATTCCATATGAATCTTTGAATCACGTTGCTTCTGGTCAAGTCAAGTGCTGTTAACATATATTATATGTTATACATTATTTTTTTTAGTTCGTTGACCTTAAAATTTAATGTGGCTGTATACAGAAAGCAGGATTCGAACCCGTAATTTTTCTTAAACATAAATTAATCCCTACCACTAAACTACATGCTTGGAGTTATATATTATACATTATACATACAGATGATAATATATACCAATTAACTCAATTTCAGGGTTATTATACATTATCACTTCTTATTTCCTTTTAATTTAATGGTTAAGCTGTGAGTTACTCATTACAACAATTAGATTAAAAAAAAAGTAACTCTTCTATAATTATTTTAAAATAATTTGATCTTTTC